AACATTCATACTCTGGCTACGAGAGAAAATTGCAGAAATTGCTATAACCTCGCAATCAACTGTCTCTCGAGTGCTTAGGGCACCTAATGATGCCACTCCTGCTCCAAGGAAGGAAACAAGGGGACGAAAGAAAAAGATTGATGATAGAACTGACAGGGTAATCAAGAGAGAAGTTTCGAAGAATAGGACTGTAACTAGCCAAAAAATTGCAGCCAGTCTAAACGAAGAGCAAGGTGTTAGTCTTGCCTCTTCAACAGTCCGTCGGTGGCTGTTAGAACAAGGCTACAAATCTTGTACACGAAAGTTTAAGCCGCTAATAAGCAAAGGCAACAAAGCCAAGAGACTTGAATGGGCTCAATATTAGAAAAGTTTCTCCGTAGAAGACTGGAAGAATATTCTCTTTTCCGATGAAACGAAAGTTGAGCTAAATTCAAAGGATAAGCGATCTAAAATCCGAAAAAGAAGCTTTGAAAGCTCTTTGAATTTAGCAGTAAGTACTGTCAAGCATCCGTTCAGTATAGTGTTCTGGGGATACTTTTGTTTTCATGGTTTCTTAAAACCTATTTAAAAGACCCTCAAGAGCGAGCAGTACAAGAGAATTTTAGAGTCTTGTCTGCTCCCTTCTGCTGAAAGGGTGCAAATCGACCCCACCAAGTTCATTTTTATGCAGGATAATGCTCCCTGTCACAAATCAAAATTGATGAAGGAATACTTTGATGAGAAGCAGGTGAGTGTCATGACTTGGCCGCCCCAATCTCCTGACCTGAACCCCAAAGAAAACTTATGGAGCATTATAACGTACAGGCTCTCGAGAAAGCAGTTGAGTAACAAAGAGGATTTGATTATGAATTTCATATCCGAATGGAATTCAATGCTTGGAGATGAGATTTGCCAGAACCTAATCAAGTCAATGCCAAAAAGGGTTGAAAAGGTTATTTAAAATAAAGGAGGACCCATAGATTATTAAATATTTCGAACTATATTACCTATTATAAATAAATTATGCCTCTAGTATTCTTTATTTAAAGCTGTTCGGTTATGTTTCTATTGATGACTAGTTGCAGGAAATAAGTGAGCGACTTTTTTTGCACAGAGTTTTTCCCTAAATCTCATTTATATCCAAAATTATAATTATCAATAGAATACCTTAGGGTGAGGAAAATTTTTTTCGTATGTGGTCGGGAAGGGGTCTTTATATTAGTAAAATTGAAAATTATTTTAACCCCCAAAACAATAGACAAAAATATTTTAGTAAAAAATCAGGTAAGTCTCTTTTATCGAATAACACTCTATTTAGTGTCAGATTTTGGTTTTGTATGGGACACACAGTGAGGCTCTAACTCACTCCTCAGTCGTGACGCTCGACCAGACTATTGCTGGCAGTTACTCTAAATCTAGGAGCCGTATAAGCAAGAATAGTAGATGTTTGGAATGATGATAATGGAACAAGAGAGACGAGAGGTAACGATAATAATGGAACAAGAGATAAGAGATGTAACGTAATAATGGAACAAGAGAGAAGAGATGTAACATAATAATGGAACAAGAGAGACGAGATGTAACGATAATAATGGAACAAGAGATAAGTGATGTAACGTAATAATGGAACAAGAGAGAAGAGATGTAACGTAATAATGGAACAAGAGGGAAGAGATGTAACATAATAATGGAACAAGAGAGAAGAGATGTAACGTAATAATGGAACAAGAGAGAAGAGATGTAACGTAATAATGGAACAAGAGAGAAGAGATGTAACGTAATAATGGAACAAGAGAGACGAGATGAAACGATAATAATGGAACAAGAGAGAAGAGATGTAACGATAATAATGGAACAAGAGAGAAGAGACGTTACGATATTAATGGAACAAGAGAGAAGAGATGTAACGTAATAATGGAACAAGAGAGAAGAGATGTAACGTAATAATGGAACAAGAGAAGAGATGAAACGATAATAATGGAACAAGAGAGAAGAGATGTAACGATAATAATGGAACAAGAGAGAAAGAGACGTAACGATAATAATGGAACAAGAGAGAAGAGATGTAACTATAATAATGGAACAAGAGAGAGAGAAGAGATGTAACGTAATAATGGAACAAGAGAGAGAAGAGATAAGCAACGATAATAATGGAACAAGAGAGAAGAGATGTAACGTAATAATGGAACAACAGATGTAACTATAATAATGGAACAAGAGTGAAGAGATGTAACGTAATAATGGAACAAGAGAGAAGAGATGTAACGTAATAATGGAACAAGAGAGACGAGATGTAACGATAATAATGGAACAAGAGAGAAGAGATGTAACGATAATAATGGAACAAGAGAGAAGAGATGTAACGTAATAATGGAACAAGAGAGAAGAGATGTAACGTAATAATGGAACAAGAGAGAAGAGATGTAACGATAATAATGGAACAAGAGAGAAGAGATGAAACGATAATAATGGAACAAGAGAGAAGAGATGTAACGATAATAATGGAACAAGAGAGAAGAGATGTAACGTAATAATGGAACAAGAGATAAGAGATGTAACGTAATAATGGAACAAGAGAGAAGATGTAACGATAATAATGGAACAAGAGAAGAGATGTAACGATAATAATGGAACAAGAGATAAGAACGATGTAACGTAATAATGGAACAAGAGAGAAGAGATGTAACGTAATAATGGAACAAGAGGGAAGAGATGTAACGTAATAATGGAACAAGAGTGAAGAGATGTAACGTAATAATGGAACAAGAGAGAAGAGATGTAACGTAATAATGGAACAAGAGAGAACGAGATGTAACGTAATAATGGAACAAGAGAGACGAGATGAAACGATAATAATGGAACAAGAGAGAAGAGATGTAACGATAATAATGGAACAAAAGAGAAAAGAGATGTTACGATAATAATGGAACAAGAGAGAAGAGATGTAACGATAATAATGGAACAAGAGAGAAGAGATGTAACGTAATAATGGAACAAGAGAGACGAGATGAAACGTAATAATGGAACAAGAGAGAAGAGATGTAACGATAATAATGGAACAAGAGAGAAAGAGATGTAACGATAATAATGGAACAAGAGAGAAGAGATGTAACGTAATAATGGAACAAGAGAAAGAGATGTAACGTAATAATGGAACAAGAGAGAAGAGATACAACGTAATAATGGAACAAGAGAGAAAAAGATGTAACTATAATAATGGAACAAGAGAGAAGAGATGTAACGTAATAATGGAACAAGAGAGAAGAGATGTAACGTAATAATGGAACAAGAGAGACGAGATGAAACGATAATAATGGAACAAGAGAGAAGATGTAACGATAATAATGGAACAAGAGAGAAGAGATGTAACGATATTAATGGAACAAGAGAGAAGAGATGTAACGTAATAATGGAACAAGAGAGAAGAGATGTAACGTAATAATGGAACAAGAGAGACGAGATGTAACGATAATAATGGAACAAGAGAGAAAGATGTAACGATAATAATGGAACAAGAGAGACGAGATGTAACGATAATAATGGAACAAGAGATAAGAGATGTAACGTAATAATGGAACAAGAGAGAAGAGATGTAACGTAATAATGGAACAAGAGAGAAGAGATGTAACGATAATAATGGAACAAGAGATAACGTAATAATGGAACAATGTAACGAGAATAACGGAACAATGGAACAAGAAGAGATGTAACATAATAATGGAACAAGAGAGAAAGAGATGTAACGTAATAATGGAACAAGAGAGAAGAGATGTAACGATAATAATGGAACAAGAGAGAAGAGATGTAACGTAATAATGGAACAAGAGAGAAGAGATGTAACGTAATAATGGAACAAGAGAGAAGAGATGAAACGATAATGTAACGTAATAATGGAACAAGAGATAAGAGATGTAACGATAATAATGGAACAAGAGAGAAGAGATGTTACGATAATAATGGAACAAGAGAGAAGAGATGTAACGTAATAATGGAACAAGAGAAGAGATGTAACGATAATAATGGAACAAGAGAGAGATGAAACGATAATAATGGAACAAGAGAGAAGAGATGTAACGATAATAATGGAACAAGAGAGAAGAGACGTAACGATATTAATGGAACAAGAGAGAAGAGATGTAACGTAATAATGGAACAAGAGAGAAGAGATGTAACGTAATAATGGAACAAGAGAGAAGAGATACAACGTAATAATGGAACAAGAGAGAAGAGATGTAACGATAATAATGGAACAAGAGAGAAGAGATGTAACGTAATAATGGAACAAGAGAGAAGAGATGTAACGTAATAATGGAACAAGAGAGACGAGATGAAACGATAATAATGGAACAAGAGAGAAGAGATGTAACGATAATAATGGAACAAGAGAGAAGAGACGTAACGATATTAATGGAACAAGAGAGAAGAGATGTAACGTAATAATGGAACAAGAGAGAAGAGATGTAACGTAATAATGGAACAAGAGAGACGAGATGAAACGATAATAATGGAACAAGAGAGAAGAGATGTAACGATAATAATGGAACAAGAGAGAAGAGATGTAACGTAATAATGGAACAAGAGAGAAGAGATGTAACGATAATAATGGAACAAGAGAGAAGAGATGTAACGTAATAATGGAACAAGAGAGACGAGATGTAACGATAATAATGGAACAAGAGAGAAGAGATGTAACGATAATAATGGAACAAGAGAGAAGAGATGTAACGATAATAATGGAACAAGAGAGAAGAGATGTAACGTAATAATGGAACAAGAGAGAAGAGATGTAACGATAATAATGGAACAAGAGAGAAGAGATGTAACGTAATAATGGAACAAGAGAGAAGAGATGTAACAATAATGGAACAAGAGAGAAGAGATGTAACGATAATAATGGAACAAGAGAGAAAAGATGTAACGTAATAATGGAACAAAGAGAAAGAATAACGAATGTAACGATAATAATGGAACAAGAGAGAAGATGTGTAAAATTAAAAATGGAACAAAAGAGAAGAAATGTTTTAGTAATAATGGAAGAAATTTATCGAATAGAGATTTAACGTCAATAATGGAACAAGAGACACGAGATGTAACTCATAATAATGGAACAAGAGAGAAGAGATGTAACGTAATAATGGAACAAGAGGGACGAGAATAGTAGATGTTTGGAATGATAATAATGGAACAAAGAAGAGAGATGTAACGATAATAATGGAACAAGAGAGAAGAGATGTAACGTAATAATGGAACAAGAGAAGAGATGTAACGTAATAATGGAACAAGAGAAGAACAAGAATAATGGAACAAGAGAGAAGAGATGTAACGTAATAATGGAACAAGAGAGAAAACGAGATGTAACGTAATAATGGAACAAGAAGAAACGAGATGTAACGATAATAATGGAACAAGAGAACGAGATGTAACGATAATAATGGAACAAGAGAGATGTAACGTAATAATGGAACAAGAAAGAGATGTAACGTAATAATGGAACAAGAGAGAAGAGATGTAACGTAATAATGGAACAAGAGAGAAGAGATGTAACGATAATAATGGAACAAGAGAAGAGATGTAACTATAATAATGGAACAAGAGAGAAGAGATGTAACTATAATAATGGAACAAGAGAGAAGAGATGTAACGTAATAATGGAACAAGAGAGAAGAGATGTAACGTAATAATGGAACAAGAGAGAAGAGATGTAACGATAATAATGGAACAAGAGAGAAGAGATGTAACGTAATAATGGAACAAGAGAGAAGAGATGTAACGATAATAATGGAACAAGAGAGAAGAGATGTAACGTAATAATGGAACAAGAGAGAAGAGATGTAACGAAATAATGGAACAAGAGAGAAGAGATGTAACGTAATAATGGAACAAGAGAGAAGAGATGTAACGTAATAATGGAAGAAGAGAGACGAGATGTAACGATAATAATGGAACAAGAGAGAAGAGATGTAACGATAATAATGGAACAAGAGAGAAGAGATGTAACGTAATAATGGAACAAGAGAGAAGAGATGTAACGTAATAATGGAACAAGAGAGAAGAGATGTAACGTAATAATGGAACAACGTAATAATGGAACAGATGAAAGATGTAACGTAATAATGGAACAAGAGAGACGAGATGTAACGATAATAATGGAACAAGCGTGAAGAGATGTAACATAATAATAGAACAAGAGAGAAGAGATGTAACGTAATAATGGAACAAGAGAGAAGAGATGTAACGTAATAATGGAACAAGAGAGACGAGATGTAACGATGATAATGGAGCAAGAGAAAAGAGATGTAACTATAATAATGGAACAAGAGAGAAGATGATGTAACGTAATAATGGAACAAGAGAGAAGAGATGTAACGTAATAATGGAACAAGAGAGAAGAGATGTAACGATAATAATGGAACAAGAGAGAAGAGATGTAACGTAATAATGGAACAAGAGAGAAGAGATGTAACGTAATAATGGAACAAGAGAGAAGAGATGTAACGTAATAATGGAACAAGAGAGAAGAGATGTAACGTAATAATGGAACAAGAGAGAAGAGATGTAACGTAATAATGGAACAAGAGATAAGAGATGTAACGTAATAATGGAACAAGAGAAATGTAACGAGAATGGAACAAGAACAAGAAGATGTAACGTAATAATGAACAAGAGAGAGAAGAGATGTAACGTAATAATGGAACAAGAGAGAAGAGATGTAACGATAATAATGGAACAAGAGAGAAGAGATGTAACGTAATAATGGAACAAGAGAGACGAGATGTAACGATAATAATGGAACAAGAGAGAAGAGATGTAACGTAATAATGGAACAAGAGAGAAGAGATGTAACGTAATAATGGAACAAGAGATAAGAGATGTAACGTAATAATGGAACAAGAGAGAGATGTAACGTAATAATGGAACAAGAGAGAAGAGATGTAACGATAATAATGGAACAAGAGAGAAGAGATGTAACGTAATAATGGAACAAGAGAGAAGAGATGTAACGTAATAATGGAACAAGAGTGAAGAGATGTAACATAATCATGAAACAAGAGAGAAGAGATGTAACGATAATAATGGAACAAGAGGGACGAGATGTAACGATAATAATGGAACAAGAGGGACGAGATGTAACGTAATAATGGAACAAGAGAGAAGAGATGTAACGTAATAATGGAAGAAGAGAGACGAGATGTAACGTAATAATGGAAGAAGAGAGACGAGATGTAACGTAATAATGGAACAAGAGAGAAAGATGTAACGTAATAATGGAACAAGAGAGAAGAGATGTAACGTAATAATGGAACAAGAGAGAAGAGATGTAACGATAATAATGGAACAAGAGGAAGAGATGTAACGATAATAATGGAACAAGAGATAAGAGATGTAACGATAATAATGGAACAAGAGAGAAGAGATGTAACGATAATAATGGAACAAGACATAAGAGATGTAACGTAATAATGGAACAAGAAGAAGAGATGTAACGTAATAATGGAACAAGAGATGATGTAACGATAATAATGGAACAAGAGAGAAGAGATGTAACGATAATAATGGAACAAGAGAGACGAGATGTAACGATAATAATGGAACAAGAGATAAGAGATGTAACGTAATAATGGAACAAGAGAGAAGAGATGTAACTATAATAATGGAACAAGAGAGAAGAGATGTAACGTAATAATGGAACAAGAGAGAAGAGATGTAACGATAATAATGGAACAAGAGAGAAGAGATGTAACGATAATAATGGAACAAGAGAGAAGAGATGTAACATAATAATGGAACAAGAGAGAAGACATGTAACATAATAATGGAACAAGAGAGTTTTTCCCTAAATCTCATTTATATCCAAAATTATAATTATCAATAGAATACCTTAGGGTAAGGAAATTTTTTTTCCTATGTGGTCGGGAAGGGGTCTTTATATTAGTAAAATTAAAAATTATTTTAACCCCAAAAACAATAGACAAAAATATTTTTAGTAAAAAATCAGGTGAGTCACATTTATCGAATAGCACTCTATTTAGTGTCAGATTTTGGTTTTGTATGGGACACGCAGTGAGGCACTAACTCACTCCTCAGTCGTGACGCTCGACCAGGCTATTGCTGGCAGTTACTCTACATCTAGGAGCCGTATAAGCAAGAATAGTAGATGTTTGGAATGATGATAATGGAACAAAAGAGACGAGAGGTAACGATAATAATGGAACAAGAGAAAGAGATGTAACGTAATAATGGAACAAAGAGAGAGAAACGTAATAATGGAACAAAGAAGAGATGTAACGTAATAATGGAACAAGACGAGATGTAACGTAATAATGGAACAACGAACAAGAAGAGATGTAACGTAATAATGGAACAAGAGAAGAGATGAAACGATAATAATGGAACAAGAGAGAAGAAATAATGGAACAAGTAACGTAACGTAATGGAACAAGAGAGAAGAGATGTAACGTAATAATAATAATGGAACAAGAGAAACGAGATGTAACGTAATAATGGAACAAGAGAGAAGAGATGTAACGATAATAATGGAACAAGAGAGAAGAGATGTAACGATAATAATGGAACAAGAGAGAAGAGATGTAACGTAATAATGGAACAAGAGAGAAGAGATGTAACGTAATAATGGAACAAGAGAGAAGAAAGAGATGTAACGATAATAATGGAACAAGAGAGAAGAGATGTAACGTAATAATGGAACAAGAGAGAAGAGATGTAACGTAATAATGGGAACAAGAGAGAAGAGATGTAACGTAATAATGGAACAAGAGAAAGAGATGTAACGTAATAATGGAACAAGAACAAGAATAATGGAACAAGAGAAGAGATGTAACGTAATAATGGAACAAGAGAGAAGAGATGTAACGTAATAATGGAACAAGAGAGAAGAGATGTAACGTAATAATGGAACAAGTAAGAGATGTAACGTAATAATGGAACAAGAGAAGAGATGTAACGTAATAATGGAACAAGAGAAAGAGATGTAACGTAATAATGGAACAAGAGAGAAGAGATGTAACGTAATAATGGAACAAGAGAGAAGAGATGTAACGTAATAATGGAACAAGAGAGAAGAGATGTAACGTAATAATGGAACAAGAGAGAAGAGATGTAACGTAATAATGGAACAAGAGAGAAGAGATGTAACGTAATAATGGAACAAGAGAGAAGATGAACGATAATGGAACAAGTGTAACGTAATAATGGAACAAGAGGAAGAGATGTAACGTAATAATGGAACAAGAGTGAAGAGATGTAACGTAATAATGGAACAAGAGAGAAAGATGTAACGTAATAATGGAACAAGAGGAAGAGATGTAACGTAATAATGGAACAAGAGAGAAGAGATGTAACGAACAAGAGAAAGAGATGTAATGGAACAAATGTAATAATGGAACAAGAGTGAAGAGATGTAACGTAATAATGGAACAAGAGAGAAGAGATGTAACGTAATAATGGAACAAGAGAGAAGAGATGTAACGTAATAATGGAACAAGAGGGAAGAGATGTAACGTAATAATGGAACAAGAGTAAAGAGATACGAGATGAAATAATAATGGAACAAGAGAGAAGAGATGTAACGTAATAATGGAACAAGAGGAAGAGATGTAACGTAATAATGGAACAAGAGAGACGAGATGTAACGATAATAATGGAACAAGAGAGAAGAGATGTAACGTAATAATGGAACAAGAGAGAAGAGATGTAACGATAATAATGGAACAAGAGAAAAGAGATGTAACGTAATAATGGAACAAGAGAGAAGAGATGTACGTAATAATGGAACAAGAAAGACGAGATATAACGATAATAATGGAACAAGAGAGAAGAGATGTAACGTAATAATGGAACAAGAGAGAAGAGATGTAACGATAATAATGGAACAAGAGAGAAGAGATGTAACGTAATAATGGAACAAGAGAGAAGAGATGTAACGTAATAATGGAACAAGAAGAGAGAATAATGGAACAAGAGACGAGATGTAACGTAATAATGGAACAAGAAAGACGAGATATAACGATAATAATGGAACAAGAGAGAAGAGATGTAACGATAATAATGGAACAAAGAGAGAAGAGATGTAACGAAATAATGGAACAAGAGAGAAGAGATGTAACGTAAACAAGAGAGAAGAGATGTAACGTAATAATGGAACAAGAGAGAAGAGATGTAACGTAATAATGGAACAAGAGAGAAAGAGAACGTAATAATGGAACAAGAAAAGACGAGATGTAACGATAATAATGGAACAAGAGGAAGAGATGTAACGTAATAATGGAACAAGAGAGAAGAGATGTAACGATAATAATGGAAGAAGAGAGAAGAGATGTAACGTAATAATGGAACAAGAGAGACGAGATGTAACGATAATAATGGAACAAGAGGAAAGAGATGTAACGTAATAATGGAACAAGAGAGACGAGATGTAACGATAATAATGGAACAAGAGAGAAGAGATGTAACGTAATAATGGAACAAGAGAGAAGAGATGTAACGTAATAATGGAACAAGAGAGACGAGATGTAACGATAATAATGGAACAAGCGTGAAGAGATGTAACATAATAATGGAACAAGAGAGAAGAGATGTAACGATAATAATGGAAGAAGAGAGACGAGATGTAACGATAATAATGGAACAAGAGAGAAGAGATGTAAGTATAATAATGGAACAAGAGAGAAGAGATGTAAGTATAATAATGGAACAAGAGAGAAGAGATGTAACGTAATAATGGAACAAGAGTGAAGAGATGTAACTATAATAATGGAACAAGAGTGAAGAGATGTAACGTAATAATGGAACAAGAGAGAAGAGATGTAACGTAATAATGGAACAAGAGAGAAGACATGTAACGTAATAATGGAACACGAGAGAAGAGATGTAACGTAATAATGGAACAAGAGAGACGAGATGTAACGATAATAATGGAACAAGAGAGAAGAGATGTAACGTAGTGGTTATAGACGCGGAAAGTGAAGTTGACGTGCCGAGGTAAAATTCCAGCTGAAGCACTTGCGATTGCACATATACGCCTAGATTGGTATGAATCCCTCACGTCTTATACTAAACACCATTCCCAACCTCAAGATAGGAGTTAATAGCAGATTTGGGGTTTAGTGCAACCAGGAGTACGAAAACTCTGAATGAAAAAAAAAAAAACAGCTTGAAGAGATATCTCTCCATCAGGCTAAATTGCGCTGGATACGCCCACCACTGATACGGCTGCATATGGTGCCCCAACGACCCTGATGGGTTAAGAGACACGTGACGATAATGGAGAGAGAAAAAGGCTGGTGAATTTGTTGTATATGAGAAAGTTTTAATCTGAGTTAAAACAGTAAATATACAAAAATAGAAAATATTGTAAGACAAAGATGTGTCTTCTCACTGAACTTATTCACCCTATACAACAAGGCGATTCTGAGAAAACTAGAAGTCCTACCAGGATTCATTATCGCTGGCTACAATCTTAACAACATAAAATATAAAGATGATACAGGGTTGATAGCAGTTTGGTTTGGTTTGGTTTGTTTTGTTTTACGGTATATCAACGTCAATGGGTTATTTAATACCGACAAAATTCTCACTGCTGGTAATATTTTGTTTTGTCAAAAATCTATTTCTGGTAATTTTATTTTTAAAAAAATGTATAGCTGGTAATATTATTTTAAAAAATGTATTGCAGGTAATATTTTTTTCACAAACGTATCGCCGGCAATATTTTTTCAAAAATATATTGCTGGTAATAATTTTTTTTTCCTTCAAAAATTTATCTCTGGTAATAATTTTTTACAAAGTATATCTGGTATTAAAACGTATTTTTATGCTTTCATAATGCTTTTTACCTCAATTTGGGGGTTAACTATTTGTCGATAGCTGGGACCCTAACAGTTGCTACAACCCGGGTCAGGCTGGACCTGGGAACACCAGCAATTAAGAGGTGGTTCCACGCTTCTCAAAACCTGATAAGAGGCCTTGCTGTTGGACGTAGTTTATCGTCTTACCCAGGACGCGGATGTAGTTAATCGTCATACCCAGGACGGGGTTGATAGGAAATACAGAAAGGAAACTAAAAGAACTTCTACAGAAGGTAGTGAAGGAAAGCGAGAAGAAAGGACTAAACGCCAATTGCATGAAAACAATGTAATCAAAAGGCACAGCCCAATACGCAAATTACAAATCGAAGAGAGAAAAATCAAGCAAGTACAATAATTTAAATATCTAGGAAATATTTTTTAAAAAATCACCCGGTTCTTTTGAACAGCAACAGACGCTTCTCCCTTGTTTCCTGTTTGGGATTGGGTTTCCGGTTCCTTCTAAATACTTCTCATTCCCTTTTATAATCGGTAGACCCCTGCGTCTCTTTTAGAATAACCGCCTTGCTTGGGATGAAATGATTTTTTAAAAAAGACGGAAAGTGCGACACCGACTTTCGAAGACGCACTGGAATAACGAAAGATGCCTTCTAAAAGCTAAGCAAAGTATTAAGAAAAAGGAAAGTTTCGTTAGAAAGAAACGAGTACTGAACTGTTACGTGATGTCAATCCTTCAATATGGCAGTGAATGCTGGACAGCCTCCTCAGAGATGAGGATATTTGAAACAAGATTGGAGTCTTGAAATAAGATTGGAGGTTTGAAACAAGAGTGGAGTCTTGAAACAAGATTGGAGTTTTGAAACAAGATTAGAGTCTTGAAACAAGAGTGGAGTCTTGAAGCAAGATTGAAGTCTTGAAGCAAGATTGAAGTCTTGAAGCAAGATTGGAGTCTTGAAGCAAGATTGGAGTCTTTGAAACAAGATTGAACTCTTGAAACAAGAGTGGAGTCTTGTAACAGGATTGGAGTCTTGAAACAAGAATGGAGGTTTGAAACAAGAGTGGTGTCTTGAAATAAGATTAGAGTCTGGAAACAAGAGTGGAGTCTTGAAACAAGATTAGAGGTTTGAAACAAGAGTGGAGTCTTGAAAAAAAATTGTAGTCTTGAAACAAGATTGGAGTCTTGAAACAAGAGTGGAGGTTTGAAACAAGAGTGGAGTCTTGAAACAAAATTGGAGTCTTGAAACAAGATTGGAGTCTTGAAACAAGAGTGGAGGTTTGAAACAAGAGTGGACTCTTGAAGCAAGACTGGAGTCTTGAAGCAAGATTGGACTCTTTGAAGCAAGATTGCAGTCTTGAAGCAAGATTGGAGTCTTTGAAACAAGATTGGAGTCTTGAAACAAGATTGGAGGTTTGAAACAAGAGTGGAGTCTTGAAACAAGATTGGAGTCTTGAAACAAGATTGGAGTCTTGAAACAAGATTGGAGGCTTGAAACAAGAGTGGAGTCTTGAAACAAGATTGGAGTCTTGAAGCAAGATTGGAGTCTTTGAAAAAAGATTGGAGTCTTGAAACAAGATTGGAGGCTTGAAGCAAGATCGGAGTCGTGAAAGAAGATTTGAGGTTTGAAACAAGAGTGGAGTCTTGAAACAAGATTGTAGTCTTGAAACAAGATTGGAGTCTTGAAACAATATTGGAGGTTTGAAACAAGAGGGGAGTCTTGAAGCAAGATTGGAGTTATGAAACAAGATTGGAGTATTGAAGCAAGATTGAAGTCTTGAATCAAGAAAAATGTGGTTCTGCACATGTGAGCAACAATAAAGAAAATGAAAGCAAAAAGGACACTTATTCTTAACATCAGAAAGAGATAGTTGAAATTTCTATTGCATGTAAAGTGGAAAGAGGGCTTAGAAAATTTGACACTCACCGGGCATATTAAAGGCAAGAGGGACACACTTAGTATCAGAAAGAGCCAGTTAAAATTTCTACGGCACATAATGTGGAAAGAGGGTTTGGAAAATTTGACACTCAAGAAGAAGAAATGCATAATCTATCTAACGTGTTTGTGTATATGGATGGCAGAACAGTGTTTAAGGGAAATAATAAAAAAACGTTTGCTTAGAGCTATAAAGGACAGGAAATTGTGGAGAGCCATGATTGACAAGTTCTTAAAGAGATACAGCACGTAGAAGAAAAAGATGTTGCGACTACGTTAATCTAGCGTTTGAATTAACCATTTTCCTGCCCCGAGACTGACCGCTCATCCCAAACGTTTGTCACAATTGCTGTAGTTGAAAATATCCGCACTGGCTAATACAAAA